GATGGCGTGGCGACGGGGGGGGCGTGAGTGGACAGAAATATTCGAACCCCAAAGCACCGCCTTTTCTGAGATCAACATTGATGTCGGGGGCGCGGGGGTCATTTAGAATCTCTCTCGAATGTGTAAGGGTTCGAATATATTGTCCATGTACCACCCCTTTCACGCCTAGGAGTCCCTAGAGCTACATAGGAATGAACGTTCACACCAGCCGACCTCCTGCTCCTCGACCATTGGGGTGCTTTGCCAGGGTAATCCTCCTCCCTGGATGGCTCCACGAAGCCTCTGCTCCTCCGTCGTGGGTAGATTTCGGTTTCCCACATGCCCCTCTGGGCGGATGTTCAACCACATGCTTCTTCACTTCTAGATCAGAGCAGATCGCCTGGCGATTGTCTCTGGATGGGTTGGTGGGTGAACGCGAAGCGTCAATTATATGGCTGGGATCAGGAGTGGGAGCAGCCGGAGGACCAGGAGGAGAAGAAGCAGCACCAGGAGGACGAGGAGTGGGAGCGGGAGGAATGAAAGGAGGTCTCCGGAGGCCTGAGACATCTCCACAAAACGCCCACACATATATATATATATATATATATATACTCAAGTCAAATCTCGGCCCTCCTCCTTCGGCCTCCTCCTCCTCCTTCTCGTCCTCCTCCTTCTCATCCTTTCGCCTCCTCGCAGCCCAGAACGGCAGGAGGAGGGAGGAGAAGGAGGAGGAGGAACAGGAGGAGGAGGAGGAAGAGGAGGAGGAGGAGGAGGAGGAGGAGGAGGAGGAGGGAGGAGGAAGGAGGAGAAAGGAGGAGGAGGGGGAGGAAGGAGGAGAGAGGAGGAAGGAGGAGGCGGAGGAAGAGGAAGGAGGAGTAGGAGGAAAGAGAGGAGGAAGGAGGAGGAGGGATGAGGAGGAGGAGGGAGGAGGAAAGAGGAGGGAGGGAGGAGGGAAGGAGGAGGAGGAGAAGGAGGAGGAGGAGGAGGAGGAGGAGGAGGAGGAGAGGAGGAGGAGGAGGAAGGAGGAGGGAGGAGGAGGAGAAGGAGGAGGAGAAGGAGGAACAGGAGGGGAGGGAGGGAAGGAGGAGGAGGGAGGAGGAAGGAGGTGGAGGGAGGAGGAGGAGGAGGAAGGAGGAGGAGGAAGAGGCAGGAGGAGGAGCAGCAGCAGGAGATAGGAATTTTGTACCCACTTCTCGCGCGCGGGCCTCCGGCCCTCGCCGGGGGATCCCGCCTCCGCGTGCCGGCGGGTCCAATGGTCGGGGGCGGGGCCCTCGTCCGCCGACCCCCTCGCCGCCGGAGCCGACCAGCGGCGGCGAGCGCGGGGGGGAAGTCCAGAATCAGAGGGAGGCCCCAGGAGGGGCTCGGGAGGCCTCCTCTGCTGCCTCCTCCTCCTCCTCCTCCTCCTCCTCCTCCTCCTCCTCCTCCTCCTCCTCCTCCTCCTCCTCCTCCTCCTCTGCTCCCTCTCCTCCTCCCTTCTCTTCCTCCCCCAGGTGCTCCCCCGCAGGCCGCGAGGCGGGCCTTCTCGGAAGGCGGGAGGGGGTAGGGGGTAGGTCCAGATCCAGGGGAGGGGGCAGGTCCAGGGGAGGGGGTAGGGGGAGGGCTAAGCCCCTCCCCGAAGGGGAAGAAGGAGGTCGGAAGAGGGAACTCCCTAAACCACCTACTCCGCGAGCCTTCTGAGACGGGGCGGGCCTTCTCAGAGTGCTCGGCATAGCAGGTGGAAGAACGCCACAAAAACATCCACTTTTGGCGCTCCGCACGGAGCTCTCGGATCCGCGCCGGACCCTTCCCCCGAGCGCGCCAGGGGCGGCGCCGGAGGCACCGCCAGAGGGGCCCAGCGCGGATCCAAGAGATCCGCGCGGAGCGCCAAAAGTTTATGTTTATAGCGTTTTCTCTTCTTCGACGCAGTCTCCCAGCCTTCTGAGAAGTTTTCTCAGCCTTCCCCGGAGACCCAGAAAGCCTCTAAGAAGGCGCGGGGGCTTCCGAGAAGTCCCGCCGCCTTCTGAGACGGCCTTTTCCTTCTTACGTCCCCCCCTCGCTCGCCGCCGAAACCAAGAGGAGCGGAGGGGGTGGCCCTGGCTCCGGATTCTCCGTACTTTGGTTGATTTCCGACTCGAGAGCTGTGTCGGAAATGCAGCCCAGACGATGCGAAAAAAAGTAGGGCGAACATTCCCGCCTCAGAACGTTTGGGTGGATATCGCGGCAAAGGTAAGGTGGAAACAGCGACGACAAAGTAGGGCGGAGATCTGCATCAAAGGAGCTTTCACATTCAGGCGGGAGCTCCCGCCCTGCTCACGAAATCACCCAACGTACGGCGGATCGGCAATCAGGGGATGGGGGCGAGAAAGAACGGCCGGGCGCGCCGGAGAGGGGGGCCAGGAACATGGCTTACATCCTCCACAGCGCCCCCTGGCACGCTGAGGCGTACTTTAGTAGTGGAAACAATTGGTTTTCAAAATGTTTGGTCTTTAGAAGCTCTGCGTGGCGACGCCCCCGTCGCCACGCGTGCCCTCTGCGTGCCTGCGGGGGCGCCGCCACGTAGAAATACTGGAGACCGAGCATTTGGGGCGTCGCTACGCACGCCCTCTGCGTGGCTGCGACCATTTGTTTAAACCCTAAAACCAATTGAATTCACTATTAAAGTAGTAGAATGCCAAAGGCTGCCTGGTAGGGCTTCTGTCTTCTAACCACGGGGCCCCCTATCCGCACTCGGCCGCGTGCCGCGCCCCCGAGGGGATCGCAGCCCATCCCAGCAAGCGCAGGGGAGGGGAGGGGCGGCGGGAGGAGGAGGAGGAGGAGGAGGAGGAGGAGGAGGAGGAGGAGGAGGAGGAGGAGGAGGAGGAGGAGGAGGGGAGGAGGCGACGGGGGCTGCCGAGGGCCACGACCCCTGGCAGCAGCGAGGCGTCCGCGCCCCGAGCTCCCAAGACGACTCAGGCAGACGACCAAGGCAACCAAGTCCTCCTCCTCCCTCCTCCTCCTCCCCTCCTCTCCTCCTCCTCCTCCTCCTCCTCCTGGCCCCAAGATGGCCCCAAACGCCTCGAGGACAGCCCAAATTGGCCCCAAGGCGGCTCTATACGCTTCGATACTGCCCAAGATGTCTCCAAGAGAACCCACAGGTGCTGCCCGAGGGCCCCCAACAGGGCCCGAAGAAACCGACATCATGATTTGACATGATTTGCCCTTGGGTTTTTGAATGATTGTCGCATCCTCGCCTTTTCGGGCATCTATCAGTTCAAGACGGCCCAAGGACTCTCCAAGATGGCCCTCAGACCGCCCGATAAGCCCCCGAGAGGATCTCAAGATGGCCCAACATGGCCCCACGATGGTCCAAGAGGCATGCAAGGCGTTCCCAAGACGGCTCCAAAGGGCCTCCCGCAAGAGCGGCCTTGCTGGTGAACAGCATCGAGATCAACTGGGCACTCGTGGTCGAGCTCGTTGTGAGTGGTCACCGCCCTGGAGTGTGGGGACGCAACTCTCCTTTCGGGCCAGGTTGCTGTCCCGTAAGGCGACCTTTTGGCTCGCCATCGCTCGGACGTCCATTTCCCGTGCATTTTTCGGTGTCGTGCGTGTTTTTGTTGCTCGATGGTCCAGGATCGTCCTCCATGGCTCTCGCCGAGAAAAAATGCACACGTCCGAGCGATGCCAGGTTGGTGGCCCTCGCCCTGTGGCCTGGGCCGCGCTGGCACGGAACGTTGCACGGCGAGGACTCGAACGGGAGCCCTGGCCCGCGCGCATGTGTCGAAGGCGACGGTGACTCGAGTCGGCCCCATGCGAAGTGGTGCGGAAGCTGCGGCCTCGCCAGGCTGAAGGGCGCGGAGGGCTTCGTGACCTGGCTACGCTCTGGTTCAAGGACCATCGAGCCGAGACTCGAAGGAGGATGAGAGAGAGAGAGAGAAAGAAACATAAACTACGAGAGAGAGAGAGAGAGACACAACAAAAGAGAAGAGAGAGAAGAGAGAGAAAGAGAGAGAGAGAGAGAGAGAGGAGAGAGAGAGAGGGAGAGAGAAAGAGAGAAGAAAACAACAAGAAAGAGACAGAGAGAGAGAGAGAGAGATCCGCCGCGCCATTCACCGAAGCACGAAGAGGAGTCTCCTCAGGTCCTCTCGAGCCCTCTGTACGCAACGAGCATCGGTATAAAAAAGAGCCATGCGGCCTCGAGTGCCGGGCGCTGGCGCGCGTTCCCGCGTGAATCTCGCAGGACTTCCTCGGCAGCACGAGAGCCCGGCAACAGGCCAAGAGTGCCCCAAGAAGCCTCACAGGACGGTCCAAGAGGGCCCTACGAGTCGCCCGAAGATCGCCCGAACGTCGCCCCAGGACGCCCCAAGATGCCCTCCAAGCGGCCCAGCAGGCCCGAAGGCGCTCCAAGAGGGCTCCACGAGGCCCCCCGAGAGGGCCCCTGGAGGCCAGAATCATGCATGTTCGTTTGGGCTTTTGTCGCGTTTTAATGTTCGCGCTTTTCGGGCTTTCGATGCTCCAAGGCAAGACGGCGTCAGAGGCCCCCAAGATTATCCAATGACGGCCCAAGTGGGCCCCAAGAGGGCTCCCAGACGACCCAAGAGGCCCCTAAGATGGCCTCAAGATGGGGGCACCTATCTGACATTTCGCGCCCTCCGCCACAAGATGACCTCTGAGACCGCCAGCACGCCCACAAGAGACCTCAAGAAGCCCCAATAAGAGGGCCCCAAGAGAGCCCTCGAGGGCCCCAATAGAGCCCCCAAAGCCTCCAACATGGCCTTAAGAGGGCCCAATATGGCCCAAGTAAATTGCTGAGAAGCTTCCATATCGCAAGATCCGCCTTTTTATGGTTGACTCATGGGCCTGCTCAAGCTGATCCCGAACTTCGGCTCGACGGCTTCCCCCCTCTTTGTTCCACTGCATGCACCCACACCTCCCTGATCACTGCAACTCGCATGGGCATCGTTTCTGGATGTGTTGGTGGGGACGTGGGAACTGTCAAGAATCTCGAACCTCCCGTCCAAAGCGCGATGGAACGCAACATAAAAAAAAGCATGGCTGGCTTTGTCTCACACCACCACCTCGAGCTCGGACTTCAGGAATGCGCCAGCCAAGAGGTCGTTCACCATGCCAAGCGCCGCCTCCGGCTGGTCCAGAGGGACCATGTGTCCAGCCTGAGCGACGCGCAAAAAGTGTAAATTTGCGAAACTCTGGAGCTCGCCGACCTCTTTCCCGGAGACCTTATAGGGCGTCTTCGCTGCAGCGTTGAACTCCTTACTGTGATCCCAGTCCAGCGCCTGGACCCATTTCTCGTTGCCGAGCCAATTGCAGACGAAGTCCTGGTCGCCGGCATAGATGAGGACGTCGATGCCAGCTGCGAGCATCGGCGGGATGAGCATGTGGTAGTTCTTCATGAAGTCCAGGGAGAAGGCCTTGTTGACGACGAAGTTGCAGCTCTGGAAGGGCATGTCGACGCCGAGCTGCCTCTGCACGTCCTTGTCGTTCAGGTAGCTGACGTCGTTGGACATGTCGTAGCAGAGAGGCGGCTTGTCGCACTTGATGCGCACATCGTAAGGATTCAGGCCGGTGGCCATGTACGGACCCTGGAAGCCCAAGCCGCACACCTCCATGGCCGCGCCGCAGCCTGCCTTGGCCGCCACTGGCACGCCCGAGTTGCAAGCCTTCAGGGTGGCCTCGCACGCCACGGTGGCGGCTTTCAGGGCCGTGCACTCGGCGCTGCTGTTGATCGGAGGGGTTGCGTGGCCGGCGCCGGTGCACATGTACTCCTGGTACCACTTGTACTGCTCCTGCGGGTCGGTAAGGCCGTTGCCAATGCCCATGCCCCTCAGATCAATCTTGACGTCCCCTTCCTGCAGCTTCGAGTTCCCCTCGAATATCCGGTGGGTCACGGCAGGGATGTAATGGCCAGCGTAGCTCTCACCAGTGACGAAGAATCTCTTGTTGTACTCTGGCTTCGCTTTGAAGAACACCTGCAAGAACTGATCCGCCACCCCGCTCGCGGCGGCAGGTGTGCGCCAATTCCTTTGTGGCGCCGAGGCACCAAATAAATGCGCACAGCGCGGCAACAGCTCGTGCCTCTCATGGAACGGGCCTCGAGAGTGAGTGGCTCGAGCGCCAAGTCTCATCGCGTTTTGGCCCTGGCGCGGCCGCCGCCCGTTCCCCCTTTTCTCTCTTGCAGCGCACCAGTGTGCCGCACGGGAACCCTGTGCCCGCCCGACCGGTCTGCTCGAGCGCCAGGTCCGCGATAAAACATCAAAGTGCTGGCCCGGGCGGCCCAAACACTTCGCTCTGTGAAGCTTAGTACGGTAGGTCTGAAAGGCGCCTGGCACCCCCCTTGGCCCTCCAAGACCTGCACGTGAGGGGGTCTCCACAGGGCCGGGCACAGACGACCCGAGGCTGCCCCAAGTGATGTCCTAGACGGCCTTCAGCTGTCTGACGACGGTCTCCCAGCTTCCCAAGCACTGTAATCGACACCCCCAACGAGAGCCCGAGGAAGAAACGCCCGCAAGACCGCGCCCTGAGACGGCCCGAGGACTTAGGACGTCCCCTCCGTGTCCGGACAAGCCCTCGGGGAGGCCACACCGGAAGCCGAACGCATTGAACTTCCTTGCAACTGGCTCCTGCCGTTACGACGTGGACGTTGGCGCAGCTTCTGGCAACGCGCCAATCAAACGTGAGCAAACACCCCTAAGTTATCTAATAGCCGAGATCGAGCAAGACTGGTTTGTTTCAAGCCGCTGGTGGCCTTCTTCGAATTTCTGAACGCCCCCGCTGGCGTCGCCGACGTCGCCGACGCGCCGGCGCGGCGCGAATCTGCCGCAAGTTCTGAAGGTTGCTCTGGGACTGCGGAGGAGGAGGAGGAGGAGGAGGAGGAGGAGGAGGAGGGAGGAATCCTCGGGAAGGAGCGCCGCAGCAGCCTGGGAGGTATCCCCAGGTGGCCCCCAAGCAGGCCCGAGGCCGCCCCAAGGCGCCCAGCCCCGAGGCAGCCGGAAGACCCGCTCGACGCTTACGACATCCAGGGGGCCCGAGAGCAGCAGCAGACGGCCCCAAGACTAGGGAGCCCACAAAGGACGTACGCGCCCAACTATGTACATGAACACGGCCCCTCGATTCGCGAGACCGGCCGCGTTATACGAACATTTGTGCAATGCGTACTCTCGAAACCAGCGTGGATTCATGTACATGTACGTCCTTCTTTCGCTCCTGAAAGACCCCCCTGGAAGGGCCGCGAGTCGAGGCGAGGCGAGATGAACGCCGATGTCGCTCTGCGCGCGCGCGCCTGGAGTGCCTCCTTAGGAGGTCGGCACTGTAACAGCCATGATCTGCCACAGCTTTACGCTGCGAGTTGCGAAGCCTCTCTCAAAAGGCGGTGGCGGATGTGCGCGGCAACGCCTCTGGATACATGTCCTCCGCGACACCATCTTCTCCAAAATCTGATGCGCCCTTCGAGAAACCGGTCCCTGGCGGCTGGTCAACCCACATGACGTTGGCCTTTGTGGTCCACGAATACGGGTTCAGCGTTGTCGACTTTCCGTCCGTATTCACCTTGCACGGGCCATTCTCAAACAATAGCCCCGTCATCGAAGAGCAGCCAGGCCCACCTGTCAGCCACATGACCATCGGATCGTTGGCAGGGTCGCTGCGGCTCTCGAACATCCAAAAAAAGTACTGCTTCTTGTCCTTCCCGAACGTGAAGTAGCCGCTGTGCTGCTTGACAGAGGGGTCGCAGAGCCCAGACGGGCTTTGGATGTTCAAGGTGGCCTCCACGGTCTGATTGCGATACTGAAAGGTGTGCTTATGGGACGCGACCGTCGGCGTTTCCTCGACCGGGTCGTTCACAAACGCTCCGAGCACGGCCTTGGAGAGGCCTGCGAAGCCTGCGAGGTAGCCCCACTTCATGCTCACTCACTTCAAAGGTGTTTGAAACGCAGCGGGAGCAGCCCTCGCAAGGAACACCTGAAAACAATGCCTCGCGCAGAGTGGCTGCGGAGCAGGGGGAAGAGGCAGAGAGGGAAAGACAGGGAGAGAGAGAGAGAGAGACATTGTTGTCACGTGTATGCATGTATGTATGTATGTATGTATGTATGTATGTATGTATGTATGTATGTATGTATGTATATGTATGTACACATGTATATTATATCAGTGTAAATTTGTATATATATATATATATATATGTCGGAGTGAGGGGGCCGAGCGGTCATTCATTGTTCCTGTGTGTGGCTGAGGTGGGATTCCGTGGCCTGGGTTCGTGTCGTTTGTTGTTTGCTGGAATGCTTGTTCGCTGCTGTCGCTGAATTCTCATTTCCAAAGAATAGCTATTCTTGATCCCCCCTGCCCGGTGCCCATTGCTTTTTTCCATCCAAGTGCGCCTCCTGGGGCTCCCACCCTGCTCTTAGCAGGGGAGAATTTTGTGCCTCAGATTGTGCCCCTGGTCTCTGGCTTACCAAAACAGCGGCTCCAACCTGACACTCCCTTACCATGTACTCGAAGTCGCGCTCTCACGCGGGACTTCTTGGCAACTTATCTAAAATCGCGCTCTCGCCTGGCGCTTCCTCGCCATTTGGTCTGACGCCGTGCCGACGACACTCAGGGACGGCGCTCTCGCCTTGTACTTCCTGGCGGTCTACTAAGGAAACGCGCTACCGCACGAAACTTCCCCGCGATTCATGTTGGATTTACGCCTCAACGACCTGCCCGCTCGACCCAGCTGTCTGGGCCCGCCCGCCCGACCCCGTCCGTGAGGGTCTGCCCGCCCGATCCGCCCGTTTGGTTCTGTCGCTTGTACCTCTGCTCCGAACACCCTCCTGCAAATCTCTCTCGCGCTCCATCCTTCTCCCTCCCCCTTGTCTCTTCCCTCCTCCCTCCCTTCCCCTGCTTCAGATGCTGCGCCAAGTACACGTGGCAGGTAAGGAAGATAGATGTCCCCCAAGGGGGGTAAGATCGAAGACGAACAGGACGGGTACCGAGGGTGTGCGATATACAAAGTAAATGGCACGCAATCATAGTGATAACGATCAATATGCAAATGAGTGTTATTGTTGTTGCTGTTGTTAATGGTTGTTGTTGTTGCTGTGTGTTGTTGCTGTTGCTGTTGCTGTCGTTGTTCCTGTTGTTATTATTGTTGTTGTTTGTTATTGTCTCCCTCGCCCACGACCCCCCCCCCCGCGACCCACCCGCGACACACCCCGCGACCCACCCCCAACCCACCCGCGAGCCACCCCGCTGCCCACCCCGCGACCCCCCCGCGACCCACCCCTCGACCCACACCGTGTCCGCCCCCTCACTCTTATCCGCAACCGCGGGGGCTGCACATATACATATATATATATATATATAGAGAGATATGTCTATGTATATGTATATGTATGTGTATATGTATATGTATATGTATATGTATGTATGTATGTATATATATGTATGTATGTATGTGGCCGGTGCCCGGTGCGGAACGAAAGTCCCCCCCTGGGATCGCACCGCCAGTGCGGCCGGTACGAAAGCCCCCGGGATGCACGAAAGTTGCGGTGGGGGGGCCTCCGCGCACCGCCGGTGCGGGCCGGTACGAAAGCCCCCAGGATGCGGGGAGCGCGTTTTCCTTCACCTGGATCCTCCTTCTCCTCGTCCTCCTCCTCCTCCTCCTTCTCCTCCGCCTCCTCCTCCTCCTCCATCTCCCCCTGCGACCTCCCTCGAACGAGCGGGAGCGCCCGGGGAGCGTTTGCGAACGCCCTCGGCGCTCAGGGGCGCGGGGGTTCGCCCTCCCCTTCTCCTCCCCTCCTCCCTCTCCTCCTTCTCCTGCGATGTCCCCCGGGGTGCGCGGGAGCGCCCGGAGCGCTCCTTCGAAATCCTGCGGCGCTTCGACGCGCAGGGGGTTCGTCTGCACCTCCTCCGCTCTCTCCCCCTTCTCCTCTTCCTCCTCCCCCGCTTTCTCACCCCCCCCCCCCCCAGAGCAGGGAGACCCACCCTCAAGCGGACGCCGCCCCCACAGACCCACCCCCACGCCACAGCAGGACCCCCCCACTCCCACATGGGGGGGGGGGGGGCGGCCGGTCGTCGGCGGCACCCGGTGCGCCCGGTACGAAAGTCCCCGGGGAGGGGGAGGGAGCTTCTGGGCTGTCGGCCGCACCCGGTGCGGCCAGTACGAAAGCCCCAAGGGGGGGGTCTTTCGTGACACCCGGCACCGCTCACATATATGTGTATATATATACACAGTACATAAATGTATATAAAGAGAGAAAAAGAGAGAGAGAGAAACAAAAACCAAAAGAGAGAGAGAGAGAGAGAAAGAGAGAGAGAGAGAGAAAGAGAGAGAGAGAGAGAGAGAAAGAGAGAGGGAAGGAGAGAGAGAGGGAGAGACAGAGCCATCGCATGAATCGAGGCTGTCCCACCGTGTGCACGGGTGGGACAAACGCCACGGCGCTCCTCGCTCGCATCCCTCTCGGCGCCGCAGGGGAGGGGGATGCGGACGAGAGGCTACGGGCACTCTCGGATGGCATGTCGAGGAGACGACGGAGATGCCGTGGCCAACTCTCTGATGCCACGCTGCTCGTCAACCCGTGTGCCGAGGCAACGTGCGCGCACAACTCCGGTGCGCCGACGCGGGCGGGGCGGCTCCGCGGGGAGGCCCCCTCGCGGGGGGCCGCAGGTCCGTGGGGCACGGAGCCGCGCGGGAGGCGTGCTGGCGTGGGCGGGGTGGCGCTGCGGGCCGCCCGCAGCGCCACCCCAAATAAACAATGTAAAATCGGAATAAACAATAGAAAATCAGAATTTTTGAATTTCCGGTGAAAAATCTCACTGGCGAATAGACTTCCTTCCCTACAGGATCCTTGAATCATGCTAATGCGGGCGCGCTTGCACGGGGAGTGCAGGAAGAGCTGCCCGCGGGGCATGATCCGTGTGGTGTGTGTGTGTGCCGGAACGGACATTCGGACAGCAGCAGGTCGAGCGAAGCCGTGGCAGGAGGAGGAAGGGGGGGCAAGAGGAGCGTGAGTCTCCTCAGCCGAGGGGGCCGATAGCCAGCTTGGCAGCTCCCGAGAGCCTCACATCGGCTTCGAGGTCGCCAGATCGAGAGGGCGAGGTTTCATGCTGGAGAAGTCGGAAGGATGAGGAAAAAGGAGACGCGCGGATCAGCGGAGGTAAATCGAGACCCCAACAACACAGGAGGGCAGGCAACACATCAACATAGCTGCAATATTGGCCAACGGCCAATAAGGAGGTTGGGGTTGGAACCAACGATGGGACAAACATCAGGACAACCGTCTCCATCCATCGAACAACCTCATTTGGTGTGTATATATATACACAAATGGATACTAGAACCATCGCGCGCTTCGCGCGCGCTCAAGTTCTAGCTAGGATCCTCGTAATAGTCACCATCGCCATCCTGATCGCCATCATCTTCATCGTCATCGTCATCGACATTGTCGTCATCACCACCACCATCACCATCAACACCATCATCATCACCACCACCATCAGCAACACCATCATCATCATCATCACCGTCGTCATCATCGCAATCGTCATCATCGTCATTATCGTCAGTCGCATCACCATCATCGTCATCGTCATCGTCATCATCATCATCATCATCATCATCATCATCATCATCATCATCATCATCATCATCATCATCATCATCATCATCGTCGTCGTCGTCGTCGTCGTCGTCGTCGTCGTCGTCGTCGTCGTCGTCATCACCATCGTCATCGCCATCGCCATCCTCGTCGTCGTCTTCGTCGTCGTCCTCGCCCTCAGCATCCCTCCCCAAAACCGAGCGTCTTGGTAACTGGGGTTGTGGACCTGAGGCCGCCATGCCTGGGTGATGGGCCAGTGGCCTGCTGGATGCCTGTTCGGATATGAGTGGCGTAAGTTTTTCGGAGGCCTCTTGGAGAGCTCTGGTTGCCTATGGAAGCCTCTTGGAAGCCTCTTGGAAGTCTATGGGGGTCTCCTGTGGGCCTTTTGGAAGCCTCTTGGGGCTTCCTGGGGGCCTCGGGAGGGCCCCTTGGGGACTCCTGGGGGCTTCTTGGGGTCCTCTGTTGGGCGAGGGCTCGAAATGGCCGTTCGTGTTCCCCCTCCGTGTCCTAGAACCACGCGTGCGCTTCGCGCGGGCTCAGGTCCTTGTCGATTCTGGACACGGCTTCAGTATCTGAGTGAGTTGTCCCGTGGGGTATCGCAGGTGCCTTCCCTCCTCCTTCCTCCTCCTCCTCCTCCTCCTCCTCCTCCTCCTCCTCCCGCTGACGGATAGTTGATGTTCGGGCGGATACTGCGAAGCCCCAGCACAAGGCCAGACTGTACCATACAACTCTGGGTTCGAAGCCGTCCCGAGCGGCGCGGTGCAGTCGCTGGCACGTCCAGCCGCGGTAGAATTGAAATTGCTGCTTGGTATGGCTTCTGTAATCTGCTAAGGGGCCCTCCGCTCTCCTGTGTGCGCCTCCCTGCGTGAATCGCCTCCTGTTCTCGAGGCTCTGTCGGCGCCCAGACGTGTCTCGGCGCTCTTGAACTGGCCTGAAATGCCCTGCATGGCTTCCCAGACGAACCCGGGAGGTCCCCTCAGCCGCCAAGATGGCTTATGATGCCTCCAAGACGGCCCAAGAGGTTCCAAAGAAGCCCAAAGAGCGCCAGAAGAGGACCCCCTACGAAAGGCCAAAGAAACACAAGTATTGATTTCCAATACGTTTTCGATGCTTGTTACGTTATCGTTTTCTCGACCTTCTGGCGCTCTAAGACGGCCCCAAGGGCCTGCAAGACCGCCACAAGACGGCTCAAGAGGCCCCCCAGAGGGTCCTAAGACGGCCCAGGAGGGCCCCAAAACGGTCGAAGAGGTTCCGAAGACAGCCCAAGGGAGTCCTAAGACGGCCCAAAAACTGCCGAAGAGGGGAAACATCAACCGACAATTGGAG